GTAGTGGACTTACATATGCAAACTTTCTAATGGCTGCTTTCATTAGTTTTGCTCTTCTATCCGCGCCCCCTTTCCCAGTCTATCTTGCTAATACACACAGAAATCACAATAGCGTGATATATCAAATGTACAAATCCACAAGGGCCGTGATGAGGGTTCGAACCTACGCACGGGATGTTCCCAGCTGTGTCTTAGTCCATGTCGTGGCACAGTTGACTAAGGCGCAGCTGGGAACATCCCGTGCGTAGGTTCGAACCCTCATCACGGCCCTTGTGTGTGTGTGTGTGTAATTACCTAAGTGTAGTTACAGGATGAGAGCTATGCTCGTGGTGTCCCGTCTTCCCAGCACTCTTTGTCATATAACGCTTTGAAAATACTGACGGTCTTGGCCTCCACCACCTTCTCATCTAAGTGTGAGTGTGTGTACTCACCTAATTGTACTCACCTAATTGTGCTTGCGGGGGTTGAGCTCTGGCTCTTTGGTCCCGCCTCTCAACCGTCAATCAACTGGTGTACAGATTCCTGAGCCTATTGGGCTCTATCATATCTACATTTGAAACTGTGAATGGAGTCAGCCTCCACCACATCACTTCCTAATGCATTCCATTTGCTAACTACTCTGACACTGAAAAAGTTCTTTCTAACGTCTCTGTGGCTCATTTGGGTACTCAGCTTCCACCTGTGTCCCCTTGTTCGCGTCCCACCAGTGTTGAAAAGTTCGTCCTTGTTTACCCGGTCGATTCCCCTGAGGATTTTGTAGGTTGTGATCATGTCCCCCCTTACTCTTCTGTCTTCCAGTGTCGTGAGGTGCATTTCCCGCAGCCTTTCCTCATAACTCATGCCTCTTAGTTCTGGGACTAGTCTAGTAGCATACCTTTGGACTTTTTCCAGCTTCGTCTTGTGCTTGACAAGGTACGGGCTCCATGCTGGGGCCGCATACTCCAGGATTGGTCTTACATATGTGGTGTACAAGATTCTGAATGATTCCTTACACAGGTTCCTGAACGCCGTTCTGATGTTAGCCAGCCTCGCATATGCCGCAGACGTTATTCTCTTTATGTGGGCTTCAGGAGACAGGTTTGGTGTGATATCAACTCCTAGATCTTTCTCTCTGTCTGTTTCATTAAGTACTTCATCTCCTATTCTGTATCCTGTGCCTGGCCTCCTGTTTCCACTGCCTAGTTTCATTACTTTGCATTTACTCGGGTTGAACTTCAACAGCCATTTGTTGGACCATTCACTCAGTCTATCCAGGTCATCTTGTAGCCTCCTACTATCATCCTCTGTTTCAATCCTCCTCATAATTTTTGCATCGTCGGCAAACATTGAGAGGAACGAATCTATACCCTCTGGGAGATCATTTACATATACCAGAAACAGTATAGGTCCAAGGACTGACCCCTGCGGGACTCCACTTGTGACGTCTCGCCAATCTGAGACCTCACCCCTCACACAGACTCGTTGTCTCCTGTTGCTTAGGAGACAACGAGTGTGTGTGTGTGTGTGTGTGTGTGTGTGTGTGTGTGTGTGTGTGTGTGTGTGTGTGTGTGTGTGTGTGTGTGTGTGTGTGTGTGTGTGGTAACATGTGGACGAGGGTGTGTACTAACTAGACTGGTACAATTACCTGGGCGTTACCTGCAGCTGGGTCTACCCTGCAGGCGATGACGTCACACTTGCATAAATCCTGTTAATAATTCTGAACCAGGTGGTGGAGGGTGCGGGGCAGCAGTGCCCAGAAGCACTGGGTTAGTAATAGCTAGGTAGTATACTAGAGTTTAGCCTGTATTCCCTAGAGTCACATTTCCCTATCTCTACGTATCTAGAAGGAGCTGATTTTGTGACACTTGTAAGGAAGCAAGGTGCTGCAGTTAGAAGAAATATCGAATTTTAGTTTAATTGGGGTGAGGCTAGGAGACGACTCCATCTTTAAATATGGCGGAGCAGCTCGCGAGGGAGAACTTTCCCGCTCGGGGCGAACCCCCCAGTGCATGCTGGGTAGAGCGTCAGGTGTGGCGTGATTGGTCGGCGGCGGGGGCTTGGCCAGGTTGACCAATGGCGTCGCGCCCCGAGCATGACGTAGCATGACAGCCCCTTTCAAAGCTGGAGAAATTGCTAACCTGGAGAGCGTGCAGAGATCCTTTACTGCTAGAATCCACTCAGTAAAACATCTAAATTATTGGGACCGACTAAAGAGCCTAAATCTGAATTCTCTTGAGCGCAGGCGGGAGAGATACATAATAATTTATACATGGAAAATATTAGAGGGGCTGGTCCCAAACCTGCACACAGAAATAACACCACATGAGACCAGAAGGCATGGCAGGATGTGCAGAATACCCCCGTTGAAGAGCAGAGGTGCAACAGGTACTCTGAGAGAGAACTCTATCAACATCAGAGGCCCGAGACTGTTCAACACGCTTCCACTACACATAAGGGGCATAACTGGCCGACCCCTCACAGTGTTCAAGAGAGAACTATCAACATCAGAGGCCCGAGACTGTTCAACACGCTTCCACTACACATAAGGGACATAACTGGCCGACCCCTCACAGTGTTCAAGAGAGAACTATCAACATCAGAGGCCCGAGACTGTTCAACACGCTTCCACTACACATAAGGGGCATAACTGGCCGACCCCTCACAGTGTTCAAGAGAGAACTATCAACATCAGAGGCCCGAGACTGTTCAACACGCTTCCACTACACATAAGGGACATAACTGGCCGACCCCTCACAGTGTTCAAGAGAGAACTATCAACATCAGAGGCCCGAGACTGTTCAACACGCTTCCACTACACATAAGGGACATAACTGGCCGACCCCTCACAGTGTTCAAGAGAGAACTATCAACATCAGAGGCCCGAGACTGTTCAACACGCTTCCACTACACATAAGGGACATAACTGGCCGACCCCTCACAGTGTTCAAGAGAGAACTATCAACATCAGAGGCCCGAGACTGTTCAACACGCTTCCACTACACATAAGGGACATAACTGGTCGACCCCTCACAGTGTTCAAGAGAGAACTATCAACATCAGAGGCCCGAGACTGTTCAACACGCTTCCACTACACATAAGGGGCATAACTGGCCGACCCCTCACAGTGTTCAAGAGAGAACTATCAACATCAGAGGCCCGAGACTGTTCAACACGCTTCCACTACACATAAGGGACATAACTGGCCGACCCCTCACAGTGTTCAAGAGAGAACTATCAACATCAGAGACCCGAGACTGTTCAACACGCTTCCACTACACATAAGGGGCATAACTGGCCGACCCCTCACAGTGTTCAAGAGAGAACTTGACAAACACCTCCAAAAGATACCTGATCAACCAGGCTGTGATTCGTACGTCAGGCTGCGAGCAGCCGCGTCCAACAGCCAGGTTGACCAGTCCAGCAACCAGGAGGCCTGATCGACGACCGGACCGCGGGGTCGCTAAGCCCCGAAATCACCTCAAGGTAACCTTAAGATAAAGTAGGTAACGTCAGGTGCCCCTGCAGAGGAAGGCGGGAGATCTGAGTCACTAGCCACCAAGAGTCCAGCTGAGCGGAGGTGCGCTCAAGCGATTACTCGCTCCGGAGACATATAGGTCTCCAAAGAGTGTCTATTCTATCAGCTACCGTGTGCTAGCGAAGATGGAGGCCTGTCGACTTCTGATGGACGCCTGTCGACTCCTGATGGACGCCTATCGACTCTTGAGAGAGGCCTGTCGACTCTTGAGAGAGGCCTGTCGACTCTTGAGAGAGGCCTGTCGACTCTTGAGAGAGGCCTGTCGACTCTCGAGGGAGGCTGTCGACTCCTGATGGAGGCCTGTCGACTCCTGATGGAGGCTGTCGACTCTTGAGAGAGGCCTGTCGACTCTTGAGAGAGGCCTGTCGACTCTCGAGGGAGGCTGTCGACTCCTGATGGAGGACTGTCGACTCCTGAGGGAGGCTGTCTACTCCTGATGGAGGACTGTCGACTCCTGATGGAGGACTGTCGACTCCCGAGGGAGGCCTATCGACTCCTGAGAGAGGTCTGTCGACTATGGGGCTAGAGCTGGCTGGTGGGAAGATAGCTCCTAAGCACACACAGATCACAATAGCGTGATACACCAAATGAACAAATCCACAAGGGCCGTGATGAGGGTTCGAACCCTCATCACGGTCCTCGTGGATTTATTCATGGCACTTGAGGCTTGCTGACGACGGCGTTCCTGCCTACAGTTAGCAACCAGGGAAGAACTGGGCTAAAATTTCCGGTAACGGGTAAATTTTTTTTGGTAATGAAATGAACATCATTTGAACATTTGTTAAATAATTATCTCTTAAAATCTTTTGATAATGAAGTTTTGCATTTTTTTTTTGTCTGAGAGTTTTCACAGGATGAGGACTAACCATAACGGAAGGAAAAGGTTTATCGAGATATAATTTTGTCTTTCTCTTTATTAAATTAAGTCGAGCTTGACATTATGGCTTGCAATGTCTAGCTCAGAAAGTATATTGCAATGCCATATGCACTTCGAACACGGAACACGGCAGAGCTCTCACTATTACCCGTTTGCTGACACCAAAATAAGTATGGGAGTTAATGCCATAATCATTTTGGGATTGAAACTCACGGTAGCTCCATATAGGCGTCAAGCGCCTCGCTAGGAGACCCAAGATGGCCGACCATAAACACCCGAGAACAAAGTACATAGCTGTGAGTAGCCAAGACATGGCGCCATGGTATTGCAATGTTCGCCTGCAAAAGTGATTGGGAAATGGTGATTTTTGCATGTCTCAGGGTCACAGGTGAGGTGGGGAGGGAGAGAGAGAGCCAGAGAGCACTGGTGAACAGCAGTCTTGCCTGATTCCTAAGTGTGTGTGTGGTGTGTGTGTGTGTGTGTGTGTGTGTGTGTGTGTGTGTGTGTGTGTGTGTGTGTGTGTGTGTGTGTGTGTCTCATGGCTGCCTCCCATAGTTCAGTTGGTCTCATGGCTGCCTCCCATAGTTCAGTTGGTCTCATGGCTGCCTCCTATAGTTCAGTTGGTCTCATGGCTGCCTCCCATAGTTCAGTTGGTCCCATGGCTGCCTCCCATAGTTCAGTTGGTCCCATGGCTGCCTCCCATAGTTCAGTTGGTCCCATGGCTGCCTCCCATAGTTCAACTGGTCCCATGGCTGCCTCCCATAGTTCAGCTGGTCTCATGGCTGCCTCCCATAGTTCAGTTGGTCTCATGGCTGCCTCCCATAGTTCAACTGGTCCCATGGCTGCCTCCCATAGTTCAACTGGTCCCATGGCTGCCTCCCATAGTTCAACTGGTCCCATGGCTGCCTCCCATAGTTCAACTGGTCTCATGGCTGCCTCCCATAGTTCAGTTGGTCTCATGGCTGCCTCCCATAGTTCAGTTGGTCTCATGGCTGCCTCCCATAGTTCAACTGGTCCCATGGCTGCCTCCCATAGTTCAGCTGGTCTCATGGCTGCCTCCCATAGTTCAACTGGTCCCATGGCTGCCTCCCATAGTTCAACTGGTCCCATGGCTGCCTCCCATAGTTCAACTGGTCCCATGGCTGCCTCCCATAGTTCAGTTGGTCTCATGGCTGCCACCGATGGCTGAGCTAACTCCATGACTCCCAGATCAGCTCGCCAGCGTCCCAAACGTCAAGAAACTGTCGTATTAAAGTGCCCCCTTTATCCTAACCTACCAGAGGCCCCAAAACAGAAAACGGGGCAATATGTCAATTTCGCCAGCCGCCGCCATTTTCTAGTACGACAGTGTTTTGGCCTTAGGTAACCCATACGTCAAATTGCGACGTGTTATTAGGTTACAGGTTGCAAGGAGACCTTGCCAACAGCCCGGGCAGCCGGCACGTGCAACTGCCTCGTTTACATGCAAATCTCCGCTTTTCGCTTGCAACAGCATTCTCCTATTAACCGGATATTGTAATTAAAGACTTCGTTAACGATTGAGATGTTCTGAGTACCAAGTATGAGACGGAACTCCCTGTAGTACTTTGTAGACAGTCTTGGTACCGTCACGTTCTCAGTGATGGGTTCTGTCGTCTGATGATGGAAAAATATGTTATTTGCTTTATTTCATCCAGGAATCGAACCCGGGTCCGTGGACTGCGTGTGTGTATGGTACTAAGGGAGGAGAGGGAGGCGATGCTGTGTTTTTTATTATTATTAACATTATATATTAGCATATTGTGTATATTTAAGCGTAGGTTAGGTTCTGTTGGCGATTATTTGTATTTGAAGCACGTGGGTGAAGCATTTAGAGAGGTCGATTCGAACAGAGGATTCGAACGATTACGATACGATTCGAACAGAGGTCGTCGGTGAAACACTGTTCACGAAATGTTAGAACATCATGAGTTGTGAGTCGTGTGTAAATTTTTTCTCATAAACAGGTGCAGACGATGAGTCACAATACCGTGGCTGAATATATGATGAACACACCACCACTCTCACCACAAGATGAGGAAGGGAAGGGAACTATCAGGAGAAAGCGATTGACTGATTGATTGATGAAGATTAAGCCACCCAAATGGTGGCACGGGCATGAATAGCCCGTAAGTGGTGGCCCCTTGGAGCCATTACCAGTATCATGAGCTGATACTGGAGATCTGTGGAGGTGCGGTTGCACTCTACGGAGAGGTCGTGACCTCTGGAGAAAGCGCCAAGTCATTACTACTATATAGCACTGGGAAGGGGTCAGAATAAGGATTTGGGATGAGACGGTGGGGAAGGAATGGTGCCCCAACCACTTGGACGGTCGGGGATTGAACGCCGACCTGCTTGAAGCGAGGCCGTCGCTCTACCGTCCAGCTTAAGTGGTTGGGCATAGATTATAGAGACGACAACGTTTCGGTCCGTCCTGGACCATAACGAATTGACTTGAGAATGGTCCAAGACGGACCGAAACGTCGTCGTCGTCTCGTCATCTTCAGGTGTGTGGTCTGGTCATCATAAACAGGTAGTTTGGTGGCTGCATTGGAATGACCATTTGACCTTTGTTGACGAGGAGAGGCGGTGTTTATGAATGAAAAAAAACCTTTACGCAAGACTCACAGCTGCTGACTTCTGAGCAGTTCCCGAACACTGCTTCACGCCGACCTTGGGCTTGGTGCCTTCTTTTGTTAATTACTTACTTCACGACGGCCGCTGTTCGAATCAACAGTGACAGGGTTGTTGATTTGTGGAACCAATTGCCGCGTAACGTGGTGGAGGTGGGGTCCCTCGATTGTTTCAAGCGCGGGTTGGACAAGTATATGAGTGGGATTGGGTGGTTATAGATAGGAGCTGCCTCGTATGAGCCAATAGGCCTTCTGCAGTTACCTTTGTTCTTATGTAATCCCTCCTCACTAAACACTTCACCCACGTACTGCAAATACAAATTATTGTCAACAGAACTATTCGGGTTATTCAAGCCCGTACTACCTTTTGGGTGGCTTAATCTTCATCAAATCAATCAACTGACCCAAAATATCTAACTGCACCAAATTCTAACACAGTGCATATAATAATGTTACTATTTTTTTTAGATAATTCCGATTGCACAGCACGTTACAATGAGTGAAATAGGTCTCTGAGGGTTGGCCGCCGCCGCCGCCGCTTGAACGAACCAAGCCTGAGGACATGTTACACATCTGGGTATTCCTGTCATTTCACAGGAGTTGAACACGTTCTCCAGGCGAGAGCTTCACCTAGCTGCTCCTCTCAGCCCGTCTTCCAAACAAAGACACAAAAGTGATTCCATGCACCCGCCAAACCCCACCTGTTTGTGAATAGAAAAATAAATGGCTTACACACGACTCACAACTGATGACGTTCGAACACTTCCGGAACAAGTGCTTCACTGACGAATTTTGTTCGAACCACAACGCTGTAAATGCTTCACCCACGTACTACAAATACAAATAATCGCCAACAGAACCTAAACACCTAACCTAACCTAACCTCTGCCTTTACATGCATAATATGCTAATGTATTATAATAATAATTTATATTTGAGAACATTCCCGTTTTGAATGAACAGCATGTAAGAATTTATGAATGCGTCTGTGGGGGTCGACCGCTGGATGGAATGGACTTGAGTCGAGGGGGGTCAGATTCACGAAGCAGTTACGCAAGTACTTACGAACGTGTACATCTTTCTTCAATCTTTGACGGCTTTGGTTACATTTATTAAACAGTTTACGAGCATGAAAACTTGCCAATCAACTGTTGTTATTGTTATAAACAGCCTCCTGGTGCTTCGGAGCTCATTAACTGTTTAATAATTGTAAACAAAGCCGCCAAATATTGAAAAAGATGTACAGGTTCGTAAGTGCTTGCGTAACTGCTTCGTGAATCTGGTTCTAGGTATGTAATCATACCTTTGATATCCACAAGAGAACTTGGGGACAGATTCACGAAGCAGTTACGCAAGCACTTACGAACCTGTCCATCTTTTCTCAATATTTGGCGGCTTTGTTTACAATTATTAAACAGTTAATGAGCTCCGAAGCACCACGAGGCTGCTTATAACAACAACAACTGATTGGGAAGTTTTCATGCTCGTAAACTGTTTAATAAATGTGACCAAAGCCGTCAAAGATTGAGAAAAGATGTGCAGGTTTGTAAGTGCTTGCGTAGCTGCTTCGTGAATCTAGCAAGAGGCCTGATTGCCTACTTTACACAACACGCCGGGCAGGGGTCTCATTAGTATGGGTGTCTGCCATGTGTTGAGTGTTTGATGGGGCTGTTATCGTGTGCATTTCTAACTGGCCTTTTTTTCAATGGCAATTTCACCCTAAATGAAGGTGGTAAGAGAGTAAATTATGCTACACTGCATGAAGCGGCTCCGACCGGTTTTCGACTCAATTCTAATATGCATGAATGGGTTCGAGTCTTTGGTTTTATTACCTTATCAAGCTGGTAAATTGAACCATTAAAGCGAGTAATTAACGGCCATGTGCCAGATTCACGAAGCAGTTACGCAAGTATTTACGAACGTGTACATCTTTCCTCAATCTTTGACGGGTTTGGTTATATTTATTAAACAGTTTACAAGCATGAAAGCTTCCCAATCACCATAAGCAGCCTCGTGGTGCTTCGCAGCTCATTAACTGTTTAATAATTGTAAACAAAGCCGCCAAATATTGAGAAAAGATGGACAGGTTCGTAAGTACTTGCGTAGCTGCTTCGTGAATCTGGCCCCAAGTTCTCTGGTGGATATCAAAGGTATGATTACATACCTAGAACCAGATTCACGAAGCAGTTACGCAAGCACTTACGAACCTGTGCATCTTTTCTCAATATTTGGCGGCTTTGTTTACAATTATTAAACAGTTAATGAGCTCGGAAGCACCAGGAGGCTGTTTATAACAATAACAACAGTTGATTGGCAAGTTTTCATGCTTGTAAACTGTTTAATAAATGTAACCAAAACCGTCAAAGATTGAAGAATGATGTACACATTCGTAAGTACTTGCGTAACTGCTTCGTGACTCTGGCCCCCCTTGAAAGGTGTGAAACGTGTCATCTCTGAGAGGCTCGTAACGCAGCCACTTCGTAAAAAATGCAACTGTTTCGCCTAATAAACATTCGTATCCCAGCAACTCGACTGACTCTATTGAGGCCGATGCATAGAAAATGGGTATATCAAGTTGTTTTAATTTTTAATAATACGTCGCAATTTCTAAACGGATTGGTAAATTCTGTAAAAAAATGCGACGGATTTGGTGTGTGTGTGTTTACTTATTTATTTGTGCCTCCAGGATCGAGCTTTAGTTCCTGGGCCCCTACGTTTCTGGTCGCTGGTTGCCTAATGGAATGACTCCTGACTTTGGGTTGTTCGGCTCAAGCGTTCGGGGTGTCCGAATTCGGACTCGGACTTCGAACAGGCTCTAAATGTTCGTAATATCTCCAAATTTGGTTGACCCGCTCATAACGCAACAGAGATAGATATCTGTGATATCCGAATTTTGGTTGATCGGATCCGACGTTCTGGATATCCGAAAGTAGGTTGAGTCTTAACACAACGGGGGGATATCCTGACCTGATATCACCAACTTGGGTGACGCCATCCTGTATGATAACGGCGTCTCTGGTAGCGGGCAGCCTCCTCCAGCTCTGTCTTACTCCAGACCTTGACACTATTGAGTCTACAGACATCATGTAGAGCATGAAGTCACACTCAAGGCGACGGGTAATACGTCGTAACGTCACGCGTTGAGGCTGCGTCAGCGGACAAGCGTGACGTAGCGCGCGAGGGGAGTGTGGCTGGGGGTCAAACGCCATTGGGTCTGGTCAGTAACTGGTTGGGTGAGCGGACAGCCTGGTGGTGGTGGTTATACCCAGTGAATACGGTATTAGTGGCTATTTAGCCGTATCACCTCTCTGTGACTTCAAGAATATGCGGTTTGTTCTCCCCGGGTTGGTGGGAGGATTTGGTTTTGTACTCGCCTAGTTGTGCTTGCGGGGGTTGAGCTCTGGCTCTTTGGTCCCGCCTCTCAACTGTCAATCAACAGGTGTACAGGTTCCTGAGCCTATTGGCCTCTATCATATCTACATTTGAAACTGTGTATGGAGTCAGCCTCCACCACATCACTTCCTAATGCATTCCATTTGTCAACCACTCTGACATGCTTTTGTGTGTGGTGGTGCTGCTGGTGGTGGTGGTGGTGCTGCTGCTGGTGCTGGTGGTGGTGGTGCTGCTGGTGCTGGTGGTACTGGGTGCTGCTGCTGCTGGTGCTGCTGCTGTTGCTACATTTGTTACAGCCAGAGCCTGCTCCTTGGGGAGTCACCGAGAACCTGTGAATGAAATTAAATCGAGTCACGACATCCCGCTGGCCGTCGTGTTGGCCAGGGTCGGCCCGTCGACCGTCAACCCGTCCTCTAAGACAGTCGCATGTTGACGTATCCTCTACCTAAGGCCAAAAAAAAAGTGTCGTACAAGCACAATAACAGCGGCTGGCGAAATTGACGTAGTGTTCCGTTTTCTGTTTTGGGTCCTCTGGTAGATTAGCATAAAGGGTGGCAATTTAATACGACAGTTTCAGCTGTGTAAATGGTAGGGTGAGTTGACCCTCCTCCGGCTGCGGTTCATTCCACAGCATGCCAGTACTAGTGGATGAATGGACATAACAAAGGAGATATTAATAGGGTATTAAAAGTATCAACACAAGACAACACGAAACAATGGGTATAAATTGGATAAGTTTAGATTTAGGAAAGACTTGGGTAAATACTGGTTCGGTAACAGGGTTGTTGATTTGTGGAACCAATTACCGCGTAACGTGGTGGAGGTGGGGTCCCTCGATTGTTTCAAGCGTGGGTTGGACATGTATATGAGTGGGATTGGGTGGTTATAGATAGGAGCTGCCTCGTATGGGCCAATAGGCCTTCTGCAGTTACCTTTGTTCTTATGTTCCTTGCCTCTCTTAAGTCGTCTTTCCGGGAATGAAAAGCTTTTGCTGTGGTGGAATGTGGCGCCCTCTGGCGCCTGGCTCCACCGCTGCCAGATTGTGACTGGGAATATATTCTCAACAGCTGTGTGATGGCTGACAGTTCCTAGGCGTTCAATAATGCATTCCTCCCCCCTCCTGCCCTCCCCCCCCCCCCGTCATCTTAGGTTCATTGTTTTGCTGGTGTAGTTACCCCTCCCTTGTCAACCACATTACTGGTAGTTTTGTGCTATGGTTGTTAGAGGAATACTCTCGATTAATAGCGCCAGCGATAAGCATGGAGTTGCAGAGTGCTTGCAATAAGCACGTGCTTGTCATATGCACGTGGGGGGCCAGAGTGCTGGCCGTGTGCACGTGGGAGGGCCAGAGTGCTGGCCGTGTGCACGTGGAGGGCCAGAGTGCTGGCCGTGTGCACGTGGAGGGCCAGAGTGCTGACCGTGTGCACGTGGAGGCACGAGTGCTGGCCGTGTGCACGTGGAGGGCCAGAGTGCTGGCCGTGTGCACGTGGAGGCACGAGTGCTGGCCGTGTGCACGTGGAGGGCCAGAGTGCTGGCCGTGTGCACGTGGAGGCACGAGTGCTGGCCGTGTGCACGTGGAGGCACGAGTGCTGGCCGTGTGCACGTGGAGGCACGAGTGCTGGCCGTGTGCACGTGGAGGCACGAGTGCTGGCCGTGTGCACGTGGAGGCACGAGTGCTGGCCGTGTGCACGTGGAGGCACGAGTGCTAGCCGTGTGCACGTGGAGGCACGAGTGCTGGCCGTGTGCACGTGGGGGCCAGAGTGCTGGCCGTGTGCACGTGGGGAACAAGAGTGCTGGCCGTGTGCACGTGGAGGCACGAGTGCTGGCTGTGTGCACGTGGAGGCACGAGTGCTGGCCGTGTGCACGTGGAGGCACGAGTGCTGGCCGTGTGCACGTGGAGGCACGAGTGCTGGCCGTGTGCACGTGGAGGAACGAGTGCTGGCCGTGTGCACGTGGAGGCACGAGTGCTGGCCGTGTGCACGTGGAGGCACGAGTGCTGGCCGTGTGCACGTGGAGGCACGAGTGCTGGCCGTGTGCACGTGGAGGCACGAGTGCTGGCCGTGTGCACGTGGAGGCACGAGTGCTGGCCGTGTGCACGTGGAGGCACGAGTGCTGGCCGTGTGCACGTGGAGGCACGAGTGCTGGCCGTGTGCACGTGGAGGCACGAGTGCTGGCCGTGTGCACGTGGAGGCACGAGTGCTGGCCGTGTGCACGTGGGGAACAAGAGTGCTGGCCGTGTGCACGTGGAGGAACGAGTGCTGGCCGTGTGCACGTGGAGGAACGAGTGCTGGCCGTGTGCACGTGGAGGAACGAGTGCTGGCCGTGTGCACGTGGAGGCACGAGTGCTGGCCGTGTGCACGTGGAGGCACGAGTGCTGGCC